TAATTATATGACTCTAGCCTGCTGGAGCATTTGAAATACAATTTTCAGAAGGAAAACAAATCGAGGATTCAAACATGTATACTGGTTACATTGGAAGTACACAAAGTAGTATAAAAGTGGTGTACCACATTGAGTCACAATCAAAAGATTTACAATGATGGTACGAGTTTGTGACGAGTCACTGTAGCCTGTATTTACTAAGAGTAATTGGAAAGTGTCAAAGTAGTTTTGTTGGCAAAGAGTTGCTTTTCACAGAGGTGGTAGAAGGAACTCTACACGATTGGGTGAAAAAAAACCTTCTCGTTGATTCTAAGTATCCTGAAAGGCTGAGTAAGCCTTTTATTGGCATCTTGGGGTAAGTGCATGTCTATGTCATCTTTGCTATTTATTTAAGTAATTCATTCATTTGTTTTTTGTCTTTTCATTCAAAATTTTTTTTTTTGTCATTTACTCTATAGGGATATACTCAATGGCATCATATATACTTCAGATGTACATTGAGACAACCACATGGAGAAATTTGTGCAAACAATGTCTACTTGGTTAATGGAAATGCCAAGTTGGGCAAAGCTCTAAATCCGGAGTGGTACGAGAAGACATTTGGGGATGACATTGACAAGTTCTACGGCATGGTCAAGTCTCTCTTCAACTCCAAAGGGTCTAAACTTCCCTTTGGTTTGGATCATTTGTGCAGATAATTGCAAAAATACAACAAATTTGATAAGTACAGTATTTCTTTAATTATGATTTTTTAAGTATTGTAAAGCGTTTTTATTACTATTGATTTTCACGGTTTTTGTTATACAGGCATTTGATGAATGCAATTAATTATCTGATCATGTTGACAGTAGATGCAAGATGCGAGTATATGCTAGTTGCCTATTCTCTTGTTAAACACCATTCTAGCCTATACTTGCATCTTGCGTCTGGTGTCAACATGATCGGATGATTAATTTCATTCATCAAATGCCTATATAGTGAAAAGCGTGAGAATCAATATTAATAAAAACACTATACAATACTTAAAAAATCATAATTAAAGAATACTGTACTTATCGAATTTGTTGTATTTTTGCAAGAATCTGCACAAATGATCCAAACCAAAGGGAAGTTCAGACCCTTTGGACTTGAAGAGAGACTTGACCATGCCGCAGAACTTGTCAATGTCATATCCCCAAATGTCTTCTCGTACCACTCCGGATTTAGAGCTTTGCCCAACTTGGCATTTCCATTAACCAAGTAGACATTGTTTGCACAAATTTCTCCATGTGGTTGTCTCAATGTACATCTGAAGTATATATGATGCCATTGAGTATATCCCTATAGAGTAAATGACAAAAAAAAAATTGAATGAAAAGACAAAAAAACAAATGAATGAATTACTTAAATAAATAGCAAAGATGACATAGACATGCATTTACCCCAAGATGCCAATAAAAGGCTTACTCAGCCTTTCAGGATACTCAAAAATCAACGAGAAGGTTTTTCTTCACCCAATCGTGTAGAGTTCCTTCTACCACCTCCATGAAAAGCAACTCTTTGCCAACAAAACTACTTCGACACTTTCCAATTACTCTCAGTAAATACAGGCTACAAACTCGTACCACCATTGTAAATCTTTTGATTGTGACTCAAGGTGGTACACCACTTTTATACTACTTTGTGTATTTCCAATTTAACCAGTATACATGTTTGAATCCTCGATTTGTTTTCCTTCTGAAAATTGTATTTCAAATGCTCCAGCAAGCTAGAGTCATATAATTAAAACAAAATATATGGATAAAAAGTTAGCTATACGATAATATGGATAAAATATTCTACAAAATGGAGGTATAGGATGAAACATAGTATGGTATTTGGATCAACAGCCATCTTGAATCAAAATCAGCAACTCTAAAATGGGGTCACCCTCGCTAACAGATTAGCATAACTAACCACAATAAAGAGTTAACATACTACTAGTGCTGCAACTTAATCTCCTAAATCCAGGCCAATGACAAAGCCAGTAAACTATAAGTACAGTAAGGATATGAAGGCAATTAAATCTTCTCAATAACGCATACAATGACAAAAAAATTAAAAGGTTCTGATTCAGTAGACTGGCAAAGGATCTAGCAGTTTTATTGCAAAAATATCAACTTAATCTCACTAGCAGTACATGTAGCAGATACTGTTTCTGTAGCAAATATCCCATCTTGAGCCTCATGTAGCAAATACTGTTGATCTCTGAAAATTGCTGATGAGAGGGCCGCTGCTGGTGCCCTCAAAATTGCCCCTCTTCGAAAACCATTTGAATCCTCGATTTGTTTTCCTTCTGAAAATTGTATTTCAAATGCTCCAGCAGGCTAGAGTCATATAATTAAAACAAAATATATGGATAAAAAGTTAGCTATACGATAATATGGATAAAATATTCTACAAAATGGAGGTATAGGATGAAACATAGTATGGTATTTGGATCAACAGCCATCTTGAATCAAAATCAGCAACTCTAAAATGGGGTCACCCTCGCTAACAGATTAGCATAACTAACCACAATAAAGAGTTAACATACTACTAGTGCTGCAACTTAATCTCCTAAATCCAGGCCAATGACAAAGCCAGTAAACTATAAGTACAGTAAGGATATGAAGGCAATTAAATCTTCTCAATAACGCATACAATGACAAAAAAATTAGAAGGTTCTGATTCAATAGACCGGCAAAGGATCTAGCAGTTTTATTGCAAAAATAACAATCACGTCAGTTCCCCACATCACTAGCAGTACATGTAGCAACAAATTACTCTACTAAACAACAAGTGTACCACCAAAGTATAGACTGATGAATCCCATGAAAATGTTAGTGTCTTAAATTGCAATATCCCATCTTGAGCCTCATGTAGCAAATACTGTTGATCTCTGTCCTTTCTTCTTCTGTTATGATCTCTAGTTTGTGACACTGATGATGAGAGGGCCGCTGCTGGTGCCCTCAAAATTGCCCCTCTTCGAAAACCATGCCTTCTTTTGCCCCGGTCTTCTTTTCCTTTTCGACTCACTATTCGGTTGATCAGCAGTGCTTGGTTTGTATTGATCATACTTCTTTGTGTTATTTCTGCCTCATCTTGACTCAGTTGCTTATTTGATCCCATTGGACCTACAATCTCGTCAATGGAAAGCTGGGCTGGTGATTGATATTTTGTGATTTGGGCTTCATGGTGATTGATATTTTGTGATTTGGGCTTCATCCTGTTTCCGTTCACTTCTTATGTGGTTCAGACTTCCAATTAATCCCTTGAACTGGGCTTGGTCCAACATCACATTTAAGTTAATGCTGGGCCTGTGCAGATCCGAATTGCTTATGCTCTTCATAAAGCCCACAGAAGGCACCCTGTAACACTGTTACTGCCCCTCTTATTGTTCTAAATCAAAACCTTATTGTTCTAAATCAAAACCTTGTACATGCCTTCCTCTTTTCCCAGACCTATCCTAGCTACTCTTGGGTCTCCCACTTTATAGCACATCTCATTAACTACAGACACAGCAAGTGAACTGTCGTCGCTGCCAAAATTCATGCCTCTATTACAAGTTCTCACTGGGCTTAGTGTTTTTGTTAGACCTCTTCCAGTTACCATATAATGTGTGTTCTATCAGGCTTCTGGTTGCTTTTGTTGTGGATTTTGTTGTGGATTTGAGTTCTTTTCTTCCAGAATTCAAGCCTTTCTCACCAAGCTTAGTACTTTTGTCAGATATCTTTCCAATTACCATGTAATGTCTGTGTTCTTCTATCAGACTCCTTGTTGCTGTAAGACTTTGATTATTACTATTTTTCGGTTTAACTATTAGACTTGATTGTTATTATTTTTGTTATTAATCATATGCCATTTGTATCTGTTGGTGACCTAACAGATGTAATATTTCTCACCTCCTCCTCTTTTCAGTAATGCAGTTTTGTCAATTATATTGTATAAATTGTGGAGAATTGGTCTTGATCATTACTTTTGTCAATTATATTGTATATGGTTACAGGTGCAAATGTTGTAATTGATGAAAATGATGGTTCTTGTAAAGACAATTCCTGTTTAGATGCTTTTGCCTTTGATCCCACCACTGATCCAGAGGAGGGTTTGTTGGTCCCTGTCCGTGATATTCCCAGATTGTCAGGTTACAAGCCCAAACATATTGTGGTCACACGAGGGAAAAATTACCTTCTTTCCAGACATTCATAATACTCATTCCTGTTTGAACTTGATCTTGAGGTGCCCCATTTTGAGGTTTTTGATCCCAAATGAGATAGAAAGTGGGAAATCCTCCCCAATCCTCTCAGCGTCGGTAAAACTGTTGGTGAAACTATCCTCGACTACTTTGCTTGGGGACACAGGCTCAGAATTTATACCCAGATAGGTTTTTGCTTGTTTGACGGAGTTCTTAAGGAAGTTTTGGGGGCAGGAGGATGGTAGTTTTGTGCCTTCTCGCCCCGATGTTGGAACTGAATTTGAGGGGGGCTTTTACATTGCCTGGGATGAGCTCATTGCTTATGATTTTGAGGACGCCAATGGTTTCCTCAAGTCTCATTGGGTACTAAGTGAGCTCTCTATTATGTTCAATCCTCTGCTCGAGCGTTACGTAGGCTTTGTCACACATCTCTGAGGAGCTCTTCCCAAGTGAAAGGTTTCCAAAACCGTTGGTGTTGGTGGCAAATCGTTCCTCTCCGTAGAAATTGAGCATCTGCAAGCATATGATTTGGAAAATTGGAATTGTGCTTATCAAGTAATCGAGTCCGTCGTCATGTAAGCAAATGAAGGAATCCTTTTTTTATATGACAGATTAATATCCTATAAACTAACGTAACAAATTAATATCCCAAAAATATGGGAAGAAAATTAAAAAAAATCACTTTGCTTGTATATGGCATTGAAATGTTGCAGTCAAACTCTTTCTCCTTAGTACCACTGCCCAACAGGATCCATAAATCACACAAAATCACAGATTAAATATAACACACAACTCATAAATATTTTTTCAGGTCTATCACATTTTTTTCCTCCAAAATTGTCTATAAAATTTTTAACTGCTCAAAAATTTTCAATTGCAAAATATTTTTTATTCATCAAAAAATCTAAAGTTTTATATATAAAATTATAAACGTGGGGAGAAATGGGATGGATGTAAACTGATGGGGGACTGTGTATGTAAATGTAGGACAGAATTTTGCTAATTTGGCTGATGTGGCACCATCTTATTGGATGTCTAGCAAATCCATGGTGTAGCTGTGAAAATTTTGGTCTCAACCACAAATCAGATGGTGGTTGTTAACATGATCCTCATATATAATTAGAATTTCTAGATAATATATATATATATATAACAAATGATATGAATTTTTGTGATATTTTAAAAAATGTCACTACAATATTATTTTTGTCAGAAATTTCGTATAAACATTCCATTCCATATGATTATTGTTTTTGTATAAATACACATTAATTTTATTATAATATATATGGCAGAATGGTGCCAACCGTTCAGTTGTGCCATGGCAAATCATATCACTTGATCTTATTGATTAATTAAATACTTCAAGAAATGTCTAGGATTGACAATGACAGTCTTAGGGTTATGGGTTCAAACACTTAGCAACTAACAACTCCAAAGTATGAGCCAAAATAAGCATGTTAGGCATTTTAGCCAATCACAATACATTTTGAGTCCTCCAATGGGCTGGTTCGTTGGCTATATATGAAGAGCATTGAGCCACTCTGCAAATTGTATTGAAACCCTTTGCCCATGAAATCGTTTCCCACAAAGTCTAAACTCCATCATTTCACATCTTTGCAGCTCTCTTCCTCATTCAGGTATGTATCCTTCTCAATCTATCTATTCTTCCTCTTCATGGGCGGCTAAACCCTATCGCACTCATCACTCCCTCTTCAACGCACCTACTTGTGAAACCCTATGTTGAACCTTCCTTTCCCCATCTCTGCAACTCCCTCGCTCTGTACCACCAAACCCTAGCTTCCGACATCTCCTATATGTGAAACTCTCTTCCTAAACCTCTCTACAAACCCCCTTATTTCCCTCCCTGTCATCCCCCTTCGACTGGGTTAATTTATGAAATCATTTATTGCACATGCAAATTGTGGATTTCATTTGCACACTAACTGTATTTTTTTCCTTTAAACCTGTGAAACCCTTCTCTCACTCATTTTTTTACATCATTCTATTCAAACTATGCATGGTTCAGTGTCATGTAAAGGTTTTGCTTAGTGCAATTAGATCATAAAGGTTAGCAGAGTCTGTTTTTAGCATTGCATTTCATATGTGCATGCTTTGAGTATTGGCTTTTTAGGAATTTGTGGACTTTTTCTAAGTTGCAATTGTTCTTGATGTGAAAGTTTATTTTTTATTTTTTATTTTTTTGTTAATTAATTTGATCTTGTAAGTGGGCAAAATCATCTAGACAGTCCCCTTCCACATTGAAGGACTTGACATGGGAAACTAAGGTGAGATATATATGGTCATATATTAGTAGATTAGAATTATATCAAATTAGACATTAATTATGTTTAAAAAAATAAAAAATAAAAAAATCAATGCTATATAACCATGAGACATATAACAAGTCCAATAACCATTATAACAACCATAAAATTGTTCACTCTAATGATAATCAAACTTTAAAGACAAGTCAAACTCCAAAATTTCAACAATTTTAATAGTAATATCGTCAATCTAACGCCAATCAACCACATGACATTAGCACAAGTAAAAGTAGTATAACAAGAATATTCGAAACTTGAACTAGCTAGGAAATTGTCGCCATAGTATGGACGATAATGAATGATTCAATTAGTGGTAATAATAGACAAATTTTTGTATATCCTTCATAATACATATTAAAATTAGCAGAAATGTTATAGGTGGGGTTCTTTGAAATAAGACTCTACACTCTACAGGCCCTTGCTTTGCCCTGTCTCTGTCTAGATTCATTATCGTCCATACTATGGCGACAATTTCCTAGCTAGTTCAAGTTTCGAATATTCTTGTTATACTACTTTAGAGTGAACAATCATTCATGTCATGTGGTTGATTGGCGTTAGATTGACAATATTACTATTAAAATTGTTGAAATTTTGGAGTTTGACTTGTCTTTAAATTTTGATTTTCATTAGAGTGAACAATTTTATGGTTGTTATAATGGTTATTGGACTTGTTATATGTCTCATGGTTATATAGCATTGATTTTTTTTTTTTTTAAACATAATTAATGTCTAATTTGATATAATTCTAATCTACTAATATATGACCATATATATCTCACCTTAGTTTCACATGTCAAGTCCTTCAATGTGGAAGGGGACTGTCTAGATGATTTTGAACATTAGCCAACTCTCTTTGGAGTTTTAGGTTGAAGTATGGGATTAGGCATTGGAACCATCATTTTGTATGGGATTAGGCAGATTTCTTGTACTATTTTGTATGTGTTTTTTAGATGGCACCATTGACTTATGCTTCATAAATCTGTGGGAAGTGGAAAGCTTGCATCTATTTTTTGCAGTCAATTTTGTATCTTGATGTGGAAGCCAAAATTCATATAGGTGAGCTGATACATGTCATTATTATTGATAGGTCCCTTTCTATTGAATTATGGCCTGTTGATTCTTGTGAAATGGAAAATTACCCAATTCATTTTGATTTTGCTGTTGTTTCTTTAGAACCCACTCCACACCAAAAAAATATACCACATATTTTAGTACTTCAACTATTGCTTTAAGACAATATCACCAACAAAATCATATATAATTGTTGCTGCTGAATCTGCTTCTGTTGGTGGTGCTGCAATTGTTGCTGCTGATAATGACAATATCACCACCACTACTACTTGTACTAGTACTAGAATCATGATTATATAATTTTCAATTGTTGCTGCTGAATCTGATTCTGTATTCAAAATCCATATATAATTGTCAATTAGGATAGCAGGAGACCAAGCTGCATTTTGGGGTTGTGGATTCTTTGGAGCCCAAGACACCCTTCATGATGATAGGGGTTGCCATTACTTCAAAGATTGCTATATCCAAGGTTCAATTGACTTATCTTTGGCAATGCTAGGTCCTTGTATGAGGTAATATATAATACTCTACTCTGCTTATCTCTCTGTCTTTGGCAATACTTCTGCAATTTTGGCTATAATGATAATGAATATGAATGAATGAATGAATACAGAGTTGCTAGCTGAGTTCGATTGTGAACCCAGTGGCACTAGGGGCAAAGGTGATAAACGGAGTGGTAAGCGCGCATGGCGGAGCTTCAAAGGATGAAAACAGTGGATTTGCATTTGTGAAATGCAGTGTGGGAGGGTCTTTGCTTACACACAAATGACTGATATCATTGCTCCTGAGGGATGGAACGATTTCAATGACCCCACCAGAGGCCAGTAATTAATTAAAATTACCCATTATTATATATTCTTCTTCTTCTTCTCTGTTTATGCATGGTTTAATTTAATTTAATTAATTTTTTTTTAGGACCGTTTTCTATGGAGAGTACATGTGCGGAGGTGCAGGAGCTAATATGACTTTGAGGGTGCCATATGCCCAAAGACTGAATGATATGCGTCTTTCATTGATGCAGATCAATGGTTACAACCATAACAATACACACATACACACATATATGTATATATATATTCTCTAATTCTATCCAATGTAATTAATATGCTAGCTAAGGTGACGTTTGATAATGTAATTCAACACTTACAATTGAATATATAAAGTAAAATTCATTAAGCTCCTGATAATTGCAATTGCTATCAATAAAAAATTTAAGTAGCACTTAAAATGTGGCATTCTATGAAAAATACAGTAATATATATCCGTTTTTATTTTGAAAATTGGTTAAGTTTGAATGACTAATTAAAATAAAGAGTATGGTTGGAGCACGCAATATCTAAACTAATTAGATAAAATAAAAAGTGTACTTTTTTCATACTTTAGCTAGTGAAAAATAAAGAGTGTGGTTGGAGTTGTTCTAAGGCATGATTAAAAATACTAGGATTGTTATATATTATTTAATTTTTTCATCAAATTATATAATAAGATATTATTTATTTTTATTAAATATTTTAATAATTATGAATCCAAAAAAATAAAAATTTTAATAATTAAATATACATAAGAGAATTAATTATTAATATTCATGTAAAAATTGATATGTATATATATATATATAATCAATTGTATATAATATTTCTCGGAAAATATTAATCAATGTGTCCAAAATCCCAAACGTTTTTTTCGTGGAAGCAAACTAAATAGAAAAGTCCAACGCAACGAGGCTGGACAAAGACAAGTTAATTAAACTGTTTGAACTTGCTCTCTATAATTAAGGCCTAACAATTTGATTTTACTTCACAGAATCTTTTATTATACTTAAACATTAATCATGTTTATATTTATTTTTGATAAATAAAAAAAATGTTTAATACGCATATATGTTTTAAATTTTGTTTTGAAAATAAGAGAGTAATCAAAAGTAATTGCTGACAACTGGATATAGTGTTAGAGGTGATTTTCGGCAGAAGGAGGCAACCAAAAGTAGTTTCCAGCAAGATGTGGTCATCAGTGCTTGGAGGCGATTTCCATCCATGGGAGATAGTTGTTAGCGACCAAAGGCAGTTGTCGATCGTGAGAGATGGTGGCTAGAGGGGATGCTAGAGGAGATTGTTGGCGATTGTGGCCGGAGGTGGGGTGAGAGTGGCCAGTTGTGATGCCTGATGGTGGTGATGAGGAATAGGTGGCTTGAAGGAATTGAAGTGAGAGAAATTATTTTTCTAAACATGTGAAACTAATTTGTTTTAAGTTAAGAGTTTAATAAATTTTGTAAACTACTAACAATTTTAAAAAATGAAAATAAACTGATAAATTTTCGTTTACAACTTTCAAAATTTTATAAATATATATAAACAAAAAAAAAATGCAAGCTTAGTCAATCATAGTTTGTTTGTTTGTTTGTTTGTTTGTTTTTTTAGATAGGAAAAGCAATTACAAAGAAATAGGAATCTCAAAAGCCACCAACGCCAATTAAAAGGGAGGGACCTTCTCCATCCAAAGGCTAGCCTACTTAAACAAAGTGTTACAGAATTGCTTTACCTATAAACATGGGAGACCAATGAGGAATGGAGTCGTAAGAGTAGCGCCTAAGCAACACCCACCAAATGACCATAACAAAGCAAGTTATCCGTCTTGCCTTGGATTACAGACACCATATTAAGAGAATCGCCTTCAAGCTGAATATTACACAAGCCCAAATCACAACCCAATTGGAGCGCTTCCACACAATCATAGTTTGTTGATAATTGCAAAAATGTAAATGTGGACACGTGTAGGCAGGTGTAGTTTCGAACATGGTTAAGTTATTCTCACAATTACATATGTACGAGAGTTATAACTAACATTGTAAATGGAGTTTTTCCATATTAAGTCAAATTAATAATTTATGTTTCAAACTAGGCTTAGTTTGGACGAAATTTCTAAACTAGGCTAAAACGTGGTTGTGAACCACGCTTTCACCATTTTTGTACCTATCGCGCTGAAATTTTGACAAATTATAAAAGTGTGGTTACAAACCACGCTTTTAATTAAGAAGACGTGGTTACAAATCACGCTTTTAAGTTAATCATAAAACGTGGTTTCAAACCACGCCTTTAAGTAGAATAATTTTTTTTTTTTCCAGAAAACGTGATTTCTAACCACGCTTTCTTAATTAAATTGTGTTATAAAGAAAGCGCGGTTAGAAACCACGCTTTCAATAATTCATCAAACACACGCACTCACAAACACACACTCTCTCTCTGATAACCACACACACACAATCACACTCAATATATATAAATTTTAATACATATTTATAATTTAATATATATATAAAAATTTTATTTCATAAAATTGAAACCAATATTAAATATATATAATAATAATTTATAATAGCAAATAATAATCAACTATATAAAATGATTACTTTTTTATTTTAATTCTTAATTTTTATTTTATTTTACTGTTTAGGGATAAAATTTATTTTTTTTATTTTAGATTTAAAGTTTAATTCTTAAAATTTATTTTTTTTATTTTAGGGTTTAAGATTTATAAAAAAAAAAAAAAAAAAAAAATTATCCCTAAACTATAAATTCTAAACCCTAAATCCTAAACCTTAAAATAAAAATAAATAATTTTTAAGAATTAAATCCTAAATTCCAAAAATAAAAAAAATAAATTTTATCCCTAAACAGTAAAATAAAAAAAATTAAGATAGTAAATTCTAAACCTAAATTTTTTTAGAGGAAAAAATTAAGATAGTAAATTCTAAACCCTAAATTTTTTTTAGAATTTACTATCTTAATTTTTTCCCCTAAATTTACTATCTTAATTTTTTTTATTTTATTGTTTAGGGATAAAATTTATTTTTTTTATTTAAGGGTTTAAGGTTTAATTCTTAAAATTTATTTTTTTTATTTTAGGGTTTAAGATTTATATCGTAAAAATTATTTTTTTTTTTATTTTAGGGTTTAGGGTTTAATTCGTAAAAATTATTTTTTTTTTTATTTTAGGGTTTAGGGTTTAATTCGTAAAAATTATTTTTTTTTTTATTTTAGGGTTTAGGGTTTAATTCGTAAAAATTATTTTTTTTTTTATTTTAGGGTTTAGGGTTTAATTCTTAAAATTTATTTATTTTTATCTTCTCGCCCCGTGTTGGAACTGAATTTGAGGGGGGCTTTTGCATTAGCCTGGGATGAGCTCACTGCTTATGATTTTGAGGACGCTATCGGTTTCCTCAAGTCTCATTGGGTACTAAGTGAGCTTCTATTATGTTCAATCCTCTGCTCGAGCGTTACGTGGCTTGTTTCACACATCTCTAAGGAGGGCTCTTCCCAAGCGAGAGGTTTGGTATACGTGCAGTGGTCGTTGGGTTTCCAAAACCGTTGGTGTTGTGGCAAACCGTTCCTCTTCCGTAGAAATTGAGCATGCTGCAAGCATATGATTTGGAAAATTGGAATTGTGCTTATCAAGTAATCGAGTCCGTCGTCATGTAAGGCAAATGAAGGAATCCTTTTTTTATATGACAGATTAATATCCTATAAACTAACGTAACAAATTAATATCCCAAAAATATGGGAAGAAAATAAAAAAAATCACTTTGCTTGTATATGCATTGAAATGTTGCAGTCAAACTCTTTCCCATTTCGTTCTTTTCTAGAGCCACCATCGTTCTTTCCCACTTCTCAAACCTTCATCACATGATTCCTTAGTCCACTGCCCAACAGGATCCATAAATCACACAAAATCACAGATTAAATATAACACACAACTCATAAATATTTTTTCAGGTCTATCACATTTTTTTCCTCCAAAATTGTCTATAAAATTTTTAACTGCTCAAAAATTTTCAATTGCAAAATATTTTTTATTCATCAAAAAATCAAAAGTTTTATATATATAAAATTATAAACGTGGATGGATGTAAACTGATGGGGGACTGTGTATGTAAATGTAGGAACAGAATTTTGCTAATTTGGCTGATGTGGCACCATCTTAATTGATGTCTAGCAAATCCATGGTGTAGCTGTGAAAATTTTGGTCTCAACCACAAATCAGATGGTGGTTTGTTAACATGATCCTCATATATAATTAGAATTTCAATAAATATATATATATATATATATATAACAAATGATATGAATTTTTGTGATATTTTAAAAAATGTCACTACAATATTATTTTTGTCAGAAATTTCGTATAAAACATTCCCATGATTATTGTTTTGTATAAATACACATTAATTTTTATTATAATATATATATGGCAGAATGGTCCAACCGTTCAGTTGTGCCGTGGCAAATCATATCATTGATCTTATTGATTAATTAAATACTTCAAGAAATGTCTAGGATTGACAATGACAGTCTTAGGGTTATGGGTTCAAACACTTAGCAACTAACAACTCCAAAGTATGAGCCAAAATAAGCATGTTAGGCATTTTAGCCAATCACAATACATTTTGAGTCCTCCAATGGGCTGGTTCGTTGGCTAATATGAAGAGCATTGAGCCACTCTGCAAATTGTATTGAAACCCTTTGCCATTGAAATCGTTTCCCACAAAAGCTAAACTCCATCATTTCACATCTTTGCAGCTCCTTCCTCATTCAGGTATGTATCCTTCTCAATCTATCTATTCTTCCTCTTCATGGGCGGCAAACCCTATCGCACTCATCACTCCCTCTTCAACGCACCTACTTGTGAAACCCTATGTTGAACCTTCCTTTCCCCATCTCTGCAACTCCCTCACTTGTACCACCAAACCCTAGCTTCCGACATCTCCTATATGTGAAACTCTCTTCCTAAACCTCTCTACAAACCCCCTTATTTCCCTCCCTGTCATCCCCCTTCGACTGGATTAATTTATGAAATCATTTATTGCACATGCAAATTGTGGATTTCATTTGCACACTAACTGTATTTTTTTCCTTTAAAACCTATGAAACCCTTCTCTCACTCATTTTTTTACATCATTCTATTCAAACTATGCATGGTTCAGTGTCATGTAAAGGTTTTGCTTAGTGCAATTAGATCATAAAGGTTAGCAGAGTCTGTTTTTAGCATTGCATTTCATATGTGCATGCTTTGAGTATTGGTTTTTAGGAATTTGTGGACTTTTTCTAAGTTGTGATTGTTCTTTGATGTGAAAGTTTAGTTTTTTTTTTTTTTTTGTTAATTAATTTGATCTTGTAAGTGGGATTAGAAGAAACTTTATGGGTTGTTGTGGAGCAGAGAAACGTGGCCCAAGCATGAATGTGATAATGGAAATG